CAGATTGAAATCTTGCTACTTAGTGAATTTAAACGCACCGCTTTTAGCTGGTTCAGATAAAGCTGTCCTACCAACCCTTACATTTTTCTGCACATTGGCTTCTTGTGAATAAACATTTTTTTATTGTTATCTTCTTGGAGGATGGCTGATGGGGCTAATTTTATTTGTCAATATAGCCCACATTGCCATAATTTCTTCGAAGTGGCCCTAAGCCTTTAAGTATACAACATAACAAAGGTCAGTTTTATAGTTTAACTATTATAAAAAGACTTCCTTGCTGGAGATACCAAATGAATGGCATTGTCCAGAGTAAGAATAGGAGATTGGTTGTTTAACAACCCTGAGGGATTAATGAAAAGTCGACATTTCCATCACCTTGATGCCTGATTTGCCTACAGACTAAGATGAAACTGCAGACTCGGCATTGTGGCAATATACGACAATCCCCTAATAGAGCTAATTTCACGATCCACTATGGGATACACATGCCGAGATTTAGAAAATGTATCTGATTTTCAGTATTTTTAATTTTTTACTTCCAACAAATAATCTGAAATTTTACTTTATAATCCTGCTTCTTCATTCTCGCCCGCACTCTTCTTATTCACATATGTTTTATTTATTGGTCTTTTATCACACAATTTAGCTCCCAAAACATATTTTGACTACCCTTCTATTTCTCCTTATTCCCATAAAACCTCATATTTCGGCCCAACTTTTCACACATCCATTCACACTTCGCCACCTTACGAATAAAGGGCGCTTTTTTTGGACTCATCTACGGACTACTGGTGGGCTGTATTCGGATGCTGTTAGATTTGATTTACCGTGAACCCCCTTGTGGTGAGCCTGATTCACGACCTTGGTTCGTTTCACGAGTGCACTACATGTACTTCGCCTTGATCTCCTTCTCAACCAGTGGCATTATCATGATTGTCATATCCATCATCTGCTCCTTCCAGCATAAAAGGTTGTCGTTTTTTCGGAAGCGATCTGGTGAAGAAGAGCCTCGCCATGCTTGTGAGCATGAGGAACAGGAGGCGCTGACCAGACTGACATATTGGGGCGTCTGGCGACGTCATCGGCATTCTGAGCATTCAAGCATTCAGCTGGTTGGAGTTACGGCTATCGACGGCAAGTCAGATGAGGCGAAGATGGACGACCTGACGGATACGAGCTGTACCAGAATGAAGTTAGCTGAGCTGCAAGCACGAAGCTCCTCCTTGCAGGCATGCGAAAATATCGCTGCACAAGATTGTAAACAGGAGAAAGAACTGATGACGACGGTGGAAGCAAATCACATAGGCGATAAAGTGGTCGTTGCTAGGGGTGCTACAGATTCGGGTGCAAAACCTTCCGCCAACCATCGTCACATCACTTTCGAGACTTGCCCAAGTGTTCCCGAGGCGTTTAGCGCGGCTAATGCAAGTGGGGGAGATACAAAGAATTTCCTATTCAATGGAAAGTTTCAGCCTGAGTTAAGTCAAGAGGAAAGCGACTCGTGGACGCCAGTTGGTGCAATGGCGGAGACCTGGCGTCGGATAGTCAACGGCGCCTTAAAAACCGGTGGCGTTTCTTTCAGCAATCCGCTTGAAGGTAAATAAACCGTTTTTCTCCCCTCCATTATTCTAACGTAATTCACGCATCACATTACGTGACTCCAATTGGTGTCGCAACTGGTTTATCTTTGGAATACATAAAATGAGTAATTCTCCCACTAATACCCCATTCACGACAGCTGAATTCGCATACAAGGCAACAGTGGCCTAAACCTGATTTAACTTATCGAATGACAACACCTTTCGTTTATTAGGAATTCATCGTTCTGCTTAAAAATGGTGGATTGTTTGTAGCATCTCCAGAAATTCGTTGCCTGTTGAGCACTTTTTTTCGTATTTGCTTGTCAAGTGGATATTCAATCATCCGTGAAAACACAAAACAGTTAATCGAGGGTATGAAGATCAAGATGGTGTTGCCTTTTGTGTGGTCGCAGTCTCCTTTCGTTGTATAGAAGTTGTTTGA